ATCTTGTTTCATTATAACAATTGTTATTTTTATATTTATTTGTTTTTGCAATAACAAAATCGTATCTTCAACAAAAAGACAAATGCTAAGAAAACCATGGTAATAATCTAATTCTATATATCTTTAAGAAGTCGCTATTATGTTAACTTCACTAAAACCAAAAATGATTTTTAATGATGAAGTCCTACAACTCTAATAAAACTTTTATATACTTCTTGTTTGTTTATTCTTCGTAGTTTGATTTTTTTTAAAAAAGTACTTTAAACTGTATAAATGATATAAAATTAAATAGACTTAAACAGCCAACCATACGAAAGTCTTCCTATGGGCGTGAGGGGGGCATTCTTAGTCTAAGGTTAATTTTATCCGATTTTCTTGTCTGACCATCATGGGTGTCGCTAATGTTATGTAGTATTAACACTGACGTGATAGATTATGTTTTACTTTCAATTGGACATTGGACTTGTCTTAACTCGTAATCAGGGACACGCAAAAATTTGGGCATTATTTAGTGATTTCCAAATCTGTATAAACAATTTCCAAATTTTTGTGTGTCCCCGCTCGTGATTCACGAATTGAGTTTAGAAGAGTGTCCGAATCATTCGATTGAGTCAATTTATTGAATTTATTTGAATTATTATAATCATAAAATTTAAACTACAATTTATAAATTTGACTAGCGACGTTAGTTTTCTACGTAGTTATTTCGATGATTAGACTTTTTAAGGGCTGAGTCTAATTATTAATATACTTGATATCCCAGAATCCGGATTTCATTATGGCACTCATATATTCATATCTCAATTTTTAAAAAGATCAAGCATATTTAATATACTTAAACGATTGCGTTATTTATTTTAACTCGCGAACTTCACGAGTCATGATTCGAATCATAATAAACTCAAGTCACGAGTTGACGAGTCCAATCAATGCTTTTAATATTATTCTAAAATCTCATGCTAAAGTTCCTAATAACCTCGTTTAAAAAGATTATTTCTTTACTGAATAAAGTATTATAAATAAAGTTGTAGAAATAAAAATCGCAAATTCCTTATTTACTCTTCAAATTGTTTCAAAAAACTATGGGAAGAAAAAAGAGAACGAATATAAGAATAGAGGAGTTTTGTATAAGCGATAAATGTTACTTTGACCAGGAAGATTGCAAAGATACTTTCGTATTAACGAAAGAAACAAAATACCATCGTGTTTTTGGTAAATGGGAATGCAACCAATGTAGAAACCGATGGAGAAGCGGTTATATATGGATTTTGCTTCAAAAATTTAATAATAATATTTCCGCATCAGAACTAAACGACCAAGATTACTATCATCAAGAATGCAAAAGATGCCATAGTGAAATTAATAAATTAGTTGAATGGCATCCTCTTAAAAAGATAGAGGGAAATAGTAAACGACCACATGAGGAAAAATTATGCGCTAAGTGCCAAATTGGTGTAAAATGTCAAAAGGCAGATCGCTATTATTAAAGTAAGTTGATGTTAAGTTATTATTTAGTTACTACTGTATTAAGTTTACATTAAGTTTTTTTCATTATAGTATATATAAATGAGAAGATATGTAGATTATCGTATCAAGAAACCATTTTTCTAATAAGTTCTTAGAAAGCTCTTTTAATATTTTTTAGACATTAACTAGGCACTTGTAATACACATGGGGATCACAAATATAATAATATAACCCAGTTACATATATTTAACTTTATTTGTTATTTGTTTAATTTGAAAATAAATATTAGTGTTGCTAACTTTCACCCGGGTAACATCACTCAGGTGAAATCAACAAAAATGTAAGGATCTTCAAGAAATTTATCGATACTAAAAACGTATAGGCGAAAATTTTTGATGGGAATATTGTGATCATTAAAATTAAGTGATACAATGGAATTATATAACCACTCCTAATAATAAAAATATATTGCGCAGCGTCACTATATCAAAATATTGCATACCGAAAATGTGTACAAGGTTGGCGGCCAGCTCTCCTAAACTACGAATCAGATTTCAAGATTAGGTGTAACGTAGCATGATCAGGAAGATTCAAAACAAACGTTCGTTCTGCCAAAACTCGCTCATAGCTCAACAATCAGCATCAGCATAAGAAACCACCTTTTGTGCTCTAACAAAAAGGTTTCGTTGGACAATTTTACTATAAAAAATACTTTTCTCAAGATCCTAACCTGACCCTAATCCTAACCTTATCGAATTTTAAGAATTTTGTCTGCACCGCCAACCTTGTACACATTTTCGGTATGCCAAAAGCAAAAATATTAATAAGTAATTATACAATTAACCAATCCAATACAATCAAAATGGTTAATTTTATCATGTTTTCATAACCTTTCATAAGCAATTTATAACTCAGAAGACAATCAACCAATCAATCCATACAGTTCAATGTAATTATACTTTGAATATTTAATACCGGCAATCTTGCAACATCACATAAATGATTGGATCAAATTTTATTATGTATTTTTAATAATCACCAGAATCGACAAAATCCGTTCATATGATAAATTTGTTAATATAAGATCTCTACAATCATGTAATATACTAGAAAAAAGTTATTTATCCTACAATGAAAATGAATGGTTGTAATTTGCCAAATCTTTAAAGAATCTTCTTTAAGCCGCATCTTATACAAGTAGTCTCGTGCATCAACATAGCGATAAGAATTACACATCTAAAATTGGCAATTAAATAACGGTAATGGTATAATGCATAAAATATTACAATTACATAAAAACAATACAAATCATACATAATAAATATAAACTATCGTCATTATACTATTAATTTGCATTAAGTTTTATGTAATCATAATATGCTAACAATTAAATAAGTATATACTTTTTCTATGGCATCAATAATAACTTTTATGTTGTCTTCAAAAGGTTTTGGCACCGTATCAATTGTTTTATAAACTTTTTTTTTAATGTCATACCAATCATTCCCATCTTGAAATTCTGAAGACAAATCGACGATTGATGAAAATCCCAAACTATATTTAGATATTTTTAGCATATTTATATTTACATTAGTTTATACAATATCGGGTATATGTTACAATCTAAATCATAAGTATTTCAAGATCTTATTCAATATCAACACACACCTCTTTGTTCATTAGTTGTTTCTTTATTTTAACGTCATTCCAAAAATCTTCTTCAGGTAGAGATCCCTGATAAAAAAAATAGAGGCAGTTAACAAATACTTAATCATAAAAATTGTAAACTTAAATTGTAAACTTAAATTCATATAGTCTTTTTGGAGGAACGACACCCCACAACTGTTATACCGAGGAACGACACCCCATATTTAGAGAAGGAACGACACCCTCTCTAAGCTGTATAACAGCAAAAAGACCGCAAGATCAATGCGAGGAACAACACCCCATGGCCTTAAAAAGGAACAACACCTCTTCAGGTTGCACGATCTCACATTTGGCTATTTAGAGATATAGAAATCAACATTTCTGCTGAAGCAAGTAAATGGCATATTTTTTGGTGATATCATTTTTCTCTTCAATAAAAAGGTTACTTAAGTAAGTAAGATAACGTTTTCTCCAGATAGCTTTTTGGTCTTTCAACATACGAGCTTCAGAAATGAAGTAAGGCCTTATTGTTTTCAGATATCCCATATATGTCCATTCTGGTAAAGGTGTATTCTTGAAATATGAATCTATTACTTCTAAATAAGGTTTTAGATATATATTTTAGACGAAAATGTTTTTACAATTTAAATATCCGTGTCTAAACAAAATTTTACCATCAAACAGAAATTTCTCATAATCCATTACGTCTAAACTAAGTTTTTACGTGAAGGTAATGAGGTTCGTGACATGCATAAATATATGTAAATATATAGCCATCTTTTACTCTAATTCATTACTAATAATTACCTTATTCTAAAAATACTGATTAACTACTCATGTGACTGTAATCGGCATGACATATGCCTGGTCATGTGACGATTCGAGACAAAAGCTGCTTCGATACTAACATATCGAGCAGCTTTATTTTAATCTGGTGTTATAGTTGAGTAGGAGAGCTTATAGGTTCTTGAGCCAATTTAGCTTCGATCGTAAACAAATAGTGATTGGATTATTTTGATGACTTGAAGAAGTGTCGCCTTTTGAGTTGACTCAAAGTTTCATTAAGTTTCTGGATGATTGGCAGAATCGCTATTCCAACACAGCTTATAAAGTTCAATATATTGAAATGGTGTACCTTTATAGGTTTTTATTGAGTTATGTGAAAAACAACCGACTATTCTGATCATGCTTATATTTGTGATTAAAAATATATTGAAGCATAATATATGCCGGCAATTCACGATCAACTGAGTTTGGAGTTATAAACGTCTCAATTATCTGTTTTGATAGTCTGAATCCGTAATCTTTGATTGTTTTTGATGAATTAATATATATATATTATGAACGCTATGAAATATGTCAGAATTGTTTGCTGTAAATAAAATTCACAAATGAATTAAAATAATATACATACAAAATCTCCATGATAATATTGTCATTGGTTTTTGCATTTTTAAGATTAAAACCTGAACATATAACATCTAAAAGATCCAATCGTCCTCTCCTTCTAACATTCCAATTATGATCTGTATTTCATGTATCGATTGTTATTTTACTATTGTTATGTAAATTTTCAATCTAGATATTGGACCGGTATTACTAATATGCACGTGAACACATGGTGGTGTTAAATAACGATAGCTTATGTCCAACCCAAATTCAGAAAGTTTTACTAATGTTATCGTAATATTTAACACCAAATCACCAAGAAATAATGCTGTCATCTTTGTGCCTGAGATATTTAATATAAATGAAGTTACGCTCAAAGAGGGTTTTGGAAATCCAAAACCAGATTGTTAGCAGTTATTAATTGGTGTTTTTCATCATTCGAATTTTTTTGATATATAGTTAAATAA